CTTGGGATCAATGGTAACCTATTACAATGGTTTCGATCGTATGTAACCGGTCGCCAACTGATGGTTGCCATAGGCGATTACCGATCTGATACTTATCCTGCTACATCGGGGATACCCCAGGGTAGCCACCTTGGACCTTTGATCTTCCTGCTCTACTTCAACGATGTGAATTATGTGCTTGACGGACCTTGACTATCGTATGCTGACGATCTAAAAATCTACCTTCGGATTCGTTCCATTGCCGACTGTCACTTTCTTCAACGCCAGCTTCATGCTTTTGGGTTCAGCAATTGAACGAGTGAGCCACGTGAAGGATTTGGGAGTCATTTTGGATTCGCAACTCACATATAAGCAGCATATTTCGTATGTCGTTGATAAAGCTTCCAGAACACTAGGCTTTATCTTTAGAATAACCAAAAACTTTACTGATATTTATTGCCTGAAGTCATTGTACTCCTCACTGGTCCGATCAGTCCTTGAATATTGCTCAGCAGTTTGGAATCCAAGCTACAACAATGGTGTTGAAAGAGTCGAATCAGTCCAGCACCGATTCTTACGCTTCGCCCTTCGGCGATTGCCTTGGAGAGATCCTTTCCGTTTGCCTAGCTATGAAAGCCGATGTCAGCTGATCGGTTTGGAAACTCTTTCGACCCGAAGAGACGCTGCAAGGGCTTTACTTATTGCCGATACATTGCAAGGAAGAATCGATTGTCCTACTATCCTCGAAAAAATCGATTTGAATGTACGACCACGTGCACTAAGAAACAGTCTTATGCGGAGACTTCCCTTTCGTCGCACGAACTACGGAATGAATGGAGCAATAAACGGACTGCAGCGAGTTTTCAACAGAGTTGCCTCAGTGTTCGATTTTCACGTACCATGTCAGACGCTTCACCGTAGTTTCACCTCGATATTTTCGGGCACAGGTAACCGTGAATAGCAGTGTAATGTTTAAGTTTTAAGCACAGACAATCATGTTTTTTTTTTTGTATTACTTAACATCATTGGGGCTTATTGAAGCCTGTTGATGGAATCAATTAAATAAATAAATAAATAAATAAATAAATAAACTTCAGGGTAGTTCGAAAGAGAATTTCAGGGAAGTTCCGAGAACTCCAGAGAAGTTCCATTAGCCTCAGGAAAATTTCGGGAAATTTTTTAAACTTCCGGGAGCACCCGGAACATGTATGGCCAGTGTGGTCTTGAGTACTTAATATGGTCACAAATGTTCTTATTTTATATTCTAATATAGTTTGGTATGTCACATGAGGATGTAGGTTCAAGTTTCACTTCTCCGGGGGTATCCGGAACATGTTCGGATCTGGCCAACGTGGTCTTCAGTACTTAATATGGCCACCAATGATCCTATTTTTGAATTATCATGTAATTTGATGTGTCGCATGTGGGTGTTGGTTTAAGTTGAATCTGACCAGTTCCTCGGAGGTACCCGAAATATGTCCGGATGCATGGTTCTGATTACATACTACGACCTTGGATGATTATTTGGTTCACGTCTTGAAGGTTCTGGTTAACTCAAAATTACAAAAAAAATACTACTGAAAATTTTGAGCACTACTCAGGCTGCCACTCAACCGCACCGCGTTTTTCCAAAATGTTGAGGAAAAAAGCGTTTTAGTACAATGCCGCTTTTGCCGCAACGCGCTTATTGTGGGTTGTCAAACGAATTTCAGTGTATTGAAAAATTTACGATTACCACTACGCCGCTATCATTGTGTTCAGCCTTTAAGTGTGTAGAGTGACCACCCCTTGGCTACATGCAAAGTTGCTGTTTTCTGCATTGTTGTTCAGATGGTTAAGACCTTTTGAATGGTGGATAGTTTTGTTCGGAGTTCTCTCGCTAGGTAACACTATTGTTCTTATAAATTTCGTATACATACAGAGTCGACATCTCCAGATCCTTGCATGAGCATGAATATGAGCATAAGCATGATTGACCGCCCACGGTTGCTGCTCTGTTATCAGCTATAATTACACAGAGAACCAACAGATGATGTTTATGACTAACATGCATCCTCAATGTATAAAAACTGGAGATCTATTATTTAGCAATACCAGCGCCACCCTTGTCCGAATGCAGGTCAAATAGGGAATGGGAAGGAATGTGTTGACGTGATTCTCGCTGTGAAGGAAACCAAGAAGTTCTCTGCGCTTCCACAAGAAATCACTGGAATGTTGGATGTATGGAAAGTTTTGCAGCAAGGATCGTTTTGGTAAACTAATGCGGATAATGACGTACTTTAAACACTACCGGATATGAAATATAAATAGATAAAAAAGAAAGATCTTACCGAAGTGGACCTGCAACAAGCTGCCCCGTAGTATTTTCATATGCTGTCCTCAAATCATCCTTCTTCTTGACGTAATAGTACCAGCCGTAGACGGTCCACGGGGATCAACATGAACTGGTCCAGACTCTTTTAGAATGTATGTGAAATATCCCTACTTCACTTCTGATAAAGTTTCAACGTTCGTTGATTGACCATTCTTGAAATTCAATTTTAGTGGCGATTCAGAAGCGAGAAATTCGCTCATGAGCACTGCAGTGTACTGCTTGTTTGTAGCTTGCGTGATCTCCTTTGAAAACTTGTCCATCTGCCACGGTAGCCAATTTGCAGTAGCCCTTTCTGCTCGGCCAGCAAACGGGAATTTATTGAAATTCCCTTGTTCTTGACCTCGACAACTCCAACTCCAAACTTCGTGCACAATTTGGAACTCAGGTGCAACACACTACTAAAAGCAGTAAATTGGAAAACGTTAAGTTAGAGGAGAAAAAAACATGCAGAAAAAAATTAAACGTCTATTTTCAACCGCAGCCTACGGGAAGTCAGCAGTGATCACTGACCTGTTTTCATAACCCTTTACCATTCATCGGCCGTGCTGGTGCTGTCGGAGTGGCTCCTCTCGGAGTGGCTGCTACGGATGGTTGTCCAGGCTAAGCGAGAACCCTCGCGTGCGTAACGCCTGATGACTCACCTTCTCTCGAACTTGACGACGAGAGGTTAGAATCTGCCGGCGGTTTGGTACTAATATTTTCCGAAGGATGCGGTGGGTGGTGTAAATGCGTCTCCGTATTATGGGAGTGCAGGGTAACGTTTTGTTCGGTCTCGTTCACGGGTATAGTCTACCACCTGCTTTATCCACGACCCCTATTAGCCTTATTCGCTCTCGAAATAGGGGATTCTCGATCCCAACCAAACTCCCACGTTAAAGGGTCTTACAAATTGCACAATAGAAAAATTATCGACTTATTTTTTTTTATCTGGTTCTAAATACTACCAATGTTCACTATTTGTTTTAGGTTCAGCTTATACAATTCACTAAAGTAAACTATAATACATAATCTAATACATTTTTAGTTCAAATGCTTTTTCAATGTTTCAAACTCACTTTGTTCTAGGCTTTTCCAAAAATTCACCACTAAACCAATTCAAACTTTTCTTTACTATTTCAAAACTTATTCCGCTTTATAAAAATCGAACCGAACAATCTAAGCACTCCAACAAAAGTGATTTGAAAGTGTTCTGGGTTAATCCTTTCAAGTCCCATGACCTTGGATTAACCAATCAAATTTATTTGCGTCGTTTAAATTAAACCCAAAGACAAAACGTAATAGCGTTTGAGTGAGGCAAATTCATTTTATTGCGTCGTGGGAAAATTAAATAAAAACTTTTCTTTCGATCGCCTATACACTGGAAGATCAATTCGAGCAGTTTGGGATGGTACTGTGTTGGTAGGGTATCGAGTAGCTTAAGCCGGGTGCAGTCTAATAAGTATAATTAAAGGCGAAATGTTTATTAAATGCTATTGGGTTGTAAAGTTATCGTTACAAAATAAATAACGGAACGTAAGGTAAATAAATTTAGGAGGCATCTATAGTAGAATCATTCCATTATTGGACCATATCCGTTCGAAAAATATAGGTAAAACGTGGGTTGCGCTTAGTAGAATGCTACTTTTTTTTTTTCTTAATTTAAGAGATTTTTAGCCTTAGGCTAGTTCATCTCTAGAGAGAGAATGCTACTGATGTTTTCTTTAAAACCATAAGTTGAAAATAAGTTCAAATACCGTGGTAATTCGTTTAAGGTTTGGATGAAGAAATTAATATGCTAGGGGAAATGGATTTAATGTCGGCCTAAATGCCCCTGATTTGGACCCATACATAAATTCAGCAATCGACTTAATTTTCAACAGCGACCAAAAATATCCATTAGTACCGTCTCAATGACGCGTTCATCTAGATACAATTGATAAATATAAGATTTTTAGCGATGGGCCCAATCTTAGATCCATAGGCCAACATTAGAGCCTGTATCATTTTTTATAACGTTATTTTGACTTACCGTTTGTTTTATCGAAAATATATAGTGGAGATGAAAGTAGTTGGGTTTCTCTAAATAAAAGGAATTATTCTAACGAAAAAAAAAACTACAGGTGGCTCAGACTTTCAAATGTTTATTTGATTACAAAATCAAAAATCAACATCTTTGATATCTAGGCAAAAGTATTAACGTCAATACCTAAAATGCTATAAGTATTTCAAAATAATTTTTAAAAAATTCAAGAAATCCAAATAAAATTAATCAGTGATACTCCGTTTTACGGTACCGAATTATCTCGACCATTAACCAACAATTTCCTGTGGCATCCAATATCTATTCCTCGCCGCATCCCCTCTCCCAAGACCAACCATTAATCAACTCCACACCTTGTCGAAAATCAACTACCACCCAGGTATATCAATTCAAACAGACCGGCAAATAGCATTCCAACAACATTCACCCCTTCAGCCTCCAACTCCAATTCACCCCCAAATTAGTGGGCGTCGTCGGGACGGAATTCACCCGCAAATTCCAAAAATAATTCCAAACCATTACCCTCCGGCATATTCAACATTCATTCACAACACAACCTGTTTGCTTCGCCTCTCACTCTCGCAATCTGGCTCTCCTTCTCACACCAACTGTCTTCTTTTCTTTCAGAACAAACAAATCAATGACGACGACGGAAAATCCGAACGCTCCCATCGTTCGATATGAATGGAAAGTAATTAGCATATCTCAAGTATTCATACCCTTCACAAGCCGGTCATCGTGTGCCGTCAGTGCATAAGCGAGGAAAAATGAGCGTCGTCATCCGAAGAACGTTCAAAGTGTGTGATGTGCTTGCTATGTGCTTTTCCGTGAAGCAAAGCGGCGGGAAATCTGTCCCTCTGGTCGCCCTCCGGTCGGCGGTGGCGGTGTCCGGAGAGTGAAGTGCACCCGAAGAAAGAACCTTAAAATCGATAAAGGATATATAAATAGCTCCTTGTGGTGGTGGTGAGAAGTGGCTGGGAAAACCTAGAGCGGAAATGGTACCGAAATGTAGAGTTGAAGAACAAAGTCAACGAATTCCCCGCCGCCAACCAAGTTGTTTGTGCCGTGTGGAGTCTCGTCGCATGCGTGTTAAAAATAGTGGCCAAATTGGCTTTTGTGAGTTAAAAGTAGAGTAAATCAGAGCGAATTTCCAGCGCAGCATGGATTGCTGCAGCAGTAATTACATGGATTATAGACATTCCATAAATAATAACTTTTGCTATCCGTACTCGCCCAGTATGATACGGAGTGCGTCACCGTACCAGCTTCCCCCGGGGGTAGCCGGACGCTACGGAGCCGATTACCGGGGTGGGTATTACGATGGCAGCTTCGACAAATACTACGGCAGTTACCATCCAGCGGCCGGGTCGGGACATGGGTACGGCGGAAACTATTACGGTAATTCCTATTCGACCTACCGAGAATTCGCCTACAACGATTACTACCACCCGTCATCACCGTCTCCGTCTTCGCATCCCTTCTCCGGTCCTCCACCCGGAAGCTTCCATGGACCGCACATGTTCAATCGGCACCAATCGCTTCCGCTTCCATTCCAACGAGAATCCTATTACCATCAAAGAGATCACCATCAGTATGCGGCGGGCTTTAGTAATTACTCCGGTAATCCCTACAAGGCAGCAGACTCCAATCCGGGCAGCAGCACAACGAGTGCCAGCTCGGGCAATAATGCACCGAACGGGGGCAGTGGCAGTAGCAGCAGCCCCGGTTGCAACACTGCTGCCGGTGAAAGTCCCCTATTTGGCCCGCAGCAGAACGAATATACGCATAGTCCAGATTATTCGGCACAATCCTATAATTCCGGCAGTAGTCCAAATCATCCCCATCACCATCGTCATCATCCACACCCACACCTCAGTCCGGGGGAAGGTGGCGGCAGTAGCAGCAGCAGCTATCCTCCTTCCGCAATGCCAAATGCAACAGGTACGTACATATATGAAAGACCCTTCATATCATTTGGGTGTACCTACATACCGAAAGCGAACACGTGGGCGAGCGAAAACTTTGATACATAACGATCACTCTGAGGAAGGGAAGGAATGGATGAAAAATGCTTTTCACACCAATACATCTCAAGTCAAAAACAAAAACAACGGGTTTTTCACATTTCGGGAGTCCCCCCATCCCCCATTCCAATTGTCTCCCTTTTGACACAAACACATACAAATATGCGTTGTTTGTTTTTTTGTATCTGTGCTGGTAATGCTCAACATTGGATATATTTTGGGACTTTCAGATAGAGCCCGTAGTAAGCCTGTACACATCCAAGCCCGTGGTGGAGGAAAAGCATGAAAGCTTGTGCTGCAAGGCTTGTATCTGGCAGAGAACGGTGTGGCAAAAAGACGATTTTCAGGACAAGAAAAATTATAAAGTACCGATTAACTGTCGAAACACAGACAAATGCGTGGCGATGCTGTGAAACATCACGCCTGTCCGGTTGCCGAAAAGCGTGCTTGTTCACAGCATCACACAGTGGGATGAAATAAAAAAAACTGGGACATGGCTATTTGCGACGAAGTTGTTGAGTTTGAGTGGTAAAAGTTTTTGAGTCTTAACATAAAAAAATGTCAAAATTTGAAAACTATAAAAATATAGATATAAAATGTGAATTTCTTAACTTAACGATCCTGCGCACCTCCAGGGGTGCAAAGGGCCTTTGTGATAGATTTCCATCCTGGGCGATTACTAGCTTTGGCCTTGACCTGTGCCCTAGTCAAATTTCGGTCAACGTTCTTAATTTCACTGCTTAGGCTTCACCGCCACGAGCCTCTGGGTCTGCCTCTGCTGCGATGTCCTGCTGGATTCCAGTGGGGCCACCAGGCACGAATTATGTACCGCAGGCATCGGTTGATAAACACCTGCAGCTTCTGAGTGTTCTCCGCTGATACACACCATGTTTCACTGGCGTATAACAGCACATACTTCACGTTTGAGTTAAAAATTCGGATTTTGGTGCGTCGACTGATCTGATTCGCTCTCCACACATTTCGCAAACTGGCAAAAGCAGCCCTCGCCTTCTTAATCCGTGCCGCCGTCCGACGCTATCTGGCTGCCAAGATATTGGAAGCTTTCGACTTTCTCCACTGTCTGCCCAGCTACCGTAAAATTGGAACGGTTTTCCGTGTTGACATCGAACGATTTGGTCTTTTTGACGTTGATGGTTAGACCTGCTTCAGAGGAGCGTTCCACAAGGTCGTCGAGCTTACTCTGCATGTCATAGCGCCGTTGTGCTAATAACGCAACATCATCAGCCAAATCGAAGTCGTTGAGTTGTTCCATAGTAATAGGCTGCCACAGCAACTTACGGTTCCGTACACGGTCAACGACTCCAACCATGATCTCGTCGATTACAATGAGAAACAGTAGCGGTGATCAACAGTAGCGGTGATGCAAATACTCATTTCAGCTTAAACAATGTTTTTCTAAATTATGAAATAATTAGATGCCATGCTCAAATTTTGAATTGGTAGGATACAAGAAGAGGTTGCAAAGAATGTGTTTGACATATTAAACCTGTTTATTTCACTTCATGAGAGTCACAATCAGCGATTTTTCACAAACTCACTCACTCACTCACTCACTCACTCACTCACTCACTCACTCACTCAGCGATCAGAAAATCGCTGATTGTGACTCATAGAAAACAAAATTTACAGGTTTTATGTTTCCTACGCATACTCTGTAACCTCTTCTTGTAAGTTGTAAGTTACAAGTAAAACATGCTATCATACCATCTTTTGGTTTTATTATTCCGAAAAACATTATTTTAGCTGAAATGAGTATTTGCAACCTTGGCGGTGACAATATACATCCTTGCCTCACACCCGCGATTACCCGAATCGGGTCAGACAAATCTCCGTTGTGCAACACTCTGCATGAGAAAGCCTCGTAGTGCGCTTCGATGAGGTTGACGATCTTATCAGAGACTCCGCTACACAGTTAAAGTCGAAAAACTCGTAAAATTCGTTGAAACGCCCAGACATGAACCGTATTGGGTCATGCAAGCTGTAGTTCGCAGCACGAGGTCCAAGATGCAGGAAACTCCTCGACCGAAGAACTCGTTCGGGTGCGTAGATTTCGAATTCAGCCAAGATTCCTGGAGAGTCGATATCACCAATAAGTACTTTCGCTGCGAACACGGTCTGACTAATCGTCCGCCTATGTTCTAGTGTTTCAAGACCCAGGAGTCATTCCAAGGAAGGTGACGAAAGGCATACCGAACAAATTTCCTTTGAACAGATTCAATCCTCGCTATCCAAACTGCTTGATACGGGCACCATACTACCGAGCTGAATTCCAAGATCGATCGCACTAGAGAGGAGTATAGAGCTTTTTGACAAGCAGGATCGCGAAACTCGTCAGCGATCTTGAAAATGAATCCGAGTTGCCTGTTAGCTTTCGCAACGATGCCCTTGTAATGAAGCCTGAATGTTAAGGCGCAGTCCAGCGTGATTCTTAGGTCACGAACATTATCCACACGTTGCAGAAGTTGGTGATTTATCGTATAGTTGAATGCCACTGGTTTCTGCTTGCGATGAAATGAGATAGTTTCGTGAGATAGTTTCTTGAGCACCACTCTTCGAACGTATCGATTAGGTGCTGAGGCCGCAAGCAATCGGCGAAGCTACGAACAATCACATAGATCTTCACATCATCCGCGTAAAACGATCGGCAACCAGTTGGGAGGATCAGTCCAGCCTCATTCACAAAAATCGAGAATAGCAATGGTCCCAAGTTGCTACCTTGAGGAACACCGGAGCTGTTTGTAAAATAGTTCGATTGCTCTGATCCGGTTGGTCAGATAGGACTTGAACCAACGAGTTAAACCCGAGGATACACCGAGTTTTTCTCGCCTAAGCAGCCTTAAAGCCTTAAGATCTGTATATACAACGTCCACCTGTGCTCCAGTTTCCATACTCCGAAGACATAAAGAAATGAACGGAGCTAGATTTGTTGAAACTGATCTCTTGGGATAAAAACCGTGTTGGTCAGGAGAAATGTAATTTCTGCAGCTAAAGAATAATGCGTCGTTGATGATGGTTGGTTGACGGTTGAAACTTCGAGCAGTTGTTCAAAGTGCTCAAACCAACGTTTCAGATGGTCAGTGGGGTCGGTGAGCAACTGTCCAGTCGCGTCTTTCACAGGCATCCTTGGGTTCATCCTTGCCCCGCTCAGGCGTCGTGAAACATCATAGAGGAGGCGGATATCGCCAGTTGCTTCGGTTTTCTCCCCTGCATCAGCCAGGGAGTCCACCCACGCTTGCTCGTCCCGTATACAGGAACGCTTAACTTCCCTCTCTAGAGCCGAATACCGCTGACGGGCCTCGTTCTTGGCTCCTCGGGTCCTTGCTCGCTCTATCGCGGCTTTTGCTTCTCTCCGCTCCTCGATCTTCCTCCAGGTTTCATCGGTGATCCACTCCTTCCTCTGAGTGCGCAGCTCACCCAGGTTGTTCTCGCTTGTTTCAATAAAGGCATTCTTGATGCTCGTCCACTGTTCTTCTACGCTGCCACCTTCCGGAATATTAGCTGCGCGAGCCTCGAGTTCTTCGACGAACGATCTCTTCACTGCTGGGTCTTCCAGTCGGCGTGTGTTGAATTGCCGACCAGGAGATGATACGGTTGTACCATAGAGGTAACTCTAAAGCAAACCCCACACGTATCAATATATTGAAGGGAAGGGGAATTATTGACATTAATATTGATGATGTGAATACAGAAATATTGTCAATACCGATGTATTGACGTCAATATTGAATGTATTGACAATACGATTATTGTCAATAAAAGTAATCGTGTACGGTCCACATAAGACCAGAAGGTTCCGAAGAAACGTGCTAAACTTTTTGGCTCAGCTCTGGTCTATCTTCGGTCCCAAGCTAATCGATGCACCCCTCGAAACATCGGAAAATCCACGAACCCCTCATTTTATCTGTCAAACTTTCATAGCGAATCAAAACAAACATAGTGTAGTACTAGAATTTCGATTAGAATGCAGTACGTTAATCGATTTGCTTGGGACCAATAGGCTAGTCAAGTAGTGAGCCAATTTTAAATCGTTAGTTTCCATCGGTTGGTTGTACGGTAGTTAAAAAAAAACAAATTCTGCGATTACCTTATGTCAAGGGCCTCCCTTAGCTCAGTCGGTTAAGCTACAAAGTAAGACCATTCTGGAGGTGGCTGAGTTCGATTCCCAGTCCGGTCTAGGAATTTTTCGGGTTGGAACATTTTTCGACCTGGGCATATAGTTATGATTGTTCTTGTCACACAATTATACTAACGCAAAAATGGTGCAGGCATCGAAAGCTCTCAATTAATAAATGTTGAAGTGCATCTAGAACACTAAGTTGAGTGCACGCAATAAGCTAATATACGATAACCAATAAGTTTGAAATGCGAGGAAGAAGAAGAAGAAGACCTTATGTCATAAGGCAATGTATAAAGGTTAATCCAAAATGGAGCGATTTCAAATAAAAAGGTCCTGGAAAAAAAAAACTTGACATAAATTATTCTGGTGATCTAAAACTAGGCAATACCAGGGCCGGCCACGTCCGAATGCAGGTCAAGAAAAGAATGGGTTGGGTTTGTAGCAGGATTCGTTTTGGTACACAATAAGCTAAATTGATGTCTTAACGATCCTATATCGCGAAGGTGCTTGGGATTGGGTCTTCTGTTCAATATTCGTTTAGGGTGGATTTTCCTTCTCGACAAATTCAAAATCCTGTCATTTTAGTACAGTTTTGTCGTCCAGTGCAGTTCTGTAGAAAGTGCAATTGTCCTGTTTTCCCGCATAAATACTAACAGTTTGGATAGTTTTATCCATCGAAATCTCTTTCCAAGATTCACACTCTGGAATTTTGTACCCGGTACCGGTACGATCATCATTGTTCGAAACGATCACCAAGCAAAAACGTTTGCTACTAGGCA